GCAATCCTCCTACCCCAGCCTCCCAAAGTACTGAGATTACAGATGTGAGCCACCATTCCCGGTCCAAATTAATTTTAGACCATGTAAAAAAAAAAACTCTAACCTTAATAATGTGATAAGTTTTCCCCCATAATCCAATTTCAATAATTTTTGATTTGGTTGAGTTATACAGATACCCACCTCTTAAATTGAACAGTCTTACCAAATAAATATATGCTAACAGAAAAAAAGAGAAAACAAATCTAGAAGAAATAACACAACATCGAAGGAAAGTATAAGTTTATAATCTATGATTTTCATGTTTGTGTTATTAACTATCAAGCTTCTCAGGATTGCATTCAGCAGCCTGGAATTTCCATTTACAGTTTGTGCGTTGAAGAAAGAAAGGCACCCGGGGAATCTGAGTCCTTTGCTCTCTGTTAGAAAGTCAGGAGAGTATACCTTATTGATTTGCTTGACTGCCTGCTTTCCCTTACTTACAGCTGCCATCCTGAGTACTGTAATTGAGATGTGGATCCCATATGTATCCCTGTAGTCAAACAATTTAAACTAGAAACTTTCCGGACAGCCAATTAGTAGTTAGTCTACACGTGCTTATGGGCTGAGAGTTGTGAAAAGAGACCGCATGCTGTCAAACAGATTCACTTAAAAATGCTGTATCTCTTTCTAGATGTTCTCAGCGTGGCAACAGTATGCCTAGATACATTTGAAGTAGGCGGGGATATTTTTAATTCTTTTTCAATTTCAGGGAGGCAAAATTCCAATCAGATGGACTGCTCCAGAAGCAATAGCTTTCCGAAAGTTTACCTCGGCCAGTGATGTCTGGAGTTACGGAATAGTGATGTGGGAAGTTGTGTCTTATGGAGAGAGGCCCTACTGGGAGATGACCAATCAAGACGTGAGTATGGGACTGTTCTTTCTCACGTCGAAAATGAAATACTTTGTTCTCTGAGTCAAGACACTTACAGTGTTTTTCATTTCTGAAAGTGACGGTTGCTTACAAAAATGAAATACTTTGCTTACCCTCTGATCTGTTTTGTTGTTGAAATATCCTTTATTCAGAAGCTCGAAATGAGTTAGTACAAAGGAAAATAAGTTACAGTTCTATAGAAACTCGGTCCCTTGTCAGACAGTTCTAGTTGCACTGTGGGGATAGTTCACTCAATTTATGTCAGTATCGTTTTCAAAGATAAAGAAAGAGCCATCAAAGAATGAATACTGACAGGTAAGTTTTGTG